TTTGTTTTTGAGACAGCAGTCCTCCTGCCTGAGCCTCTTGAGTGCTGGGATTATAGGCATGCACCACCATGCCCATCCAAAATTTCCTTTCTTGTACTAGTTTTGACTTTGGATTGTTCCTGTTTTTCTAGGACTTTGAAGTGCATCATTAAGTTATCTATTTGGGCGTGCTCTGCTTTTCCGATGTGAGCATTCACTGCTATGAACTTCCCTTTTAGGACTGCTTTCGTTTCCCATAAGTTCTTGTATGTTGTACTGGCATTATCATTTGAATCTAGCAACTATAATTTCTACCTTGGTTTCTTCTGTGACCCATTGATTACTCGAGTGTCTTGTTTAATTTCCACTTGTTTGCATACTTTTTGTGGTTACTCTTGGCATTGATTTATAGTTTCATAAAATTGGTAACATGTTGAAGGGTAGGCACATTCATGAAGAACCAATGTAGTCTGACTTCAGAGGCAACTTGCTTAGCTTCTGTTCTGTACTTTGCCATGTTCTGGGGGCCTTTCTGTTCCTACATGACAGAAGCATGTGGCTTTCAGGAGTGGAGGGACCATGTCTGTTTTGTTTATTGTAGTAGTTGTTGTTATTTTTGTAGTACTAGGGATCAAACCTGGGGGTGTTCTACCACTGAGCTATATCTCTAGCCCCTTTTTGTTTTTTATTTTGGACAGGGTCTCACTAAGTCACTAAGTTGCCCAGGTGGGACTCCAATTTACCATCTTCCTGCCTCAGCCTCCAGAGTGCTGGGATTATAGGCATGTGCTACAACATCTGCCTTGTTACTTTTAAAATTTTTACCTGAAAACCACTTTTTCCCTTGAGATGAATGGGTATGAGAAATTGGCATGAATAAAATTAATAGTCCTATATTTAGAAACTGTACATGAAAAAAGTGTGTACCATTCTAGTACTCATGAGTCACTTAGGAGTCCCAGCTCACTCCTGACATGACTAATATTGTCCTTTTCTTCCTTTATCACAAGGGTATGAGAACATCAAAAGTAAACCTCATTGGAGATGTAGTTTAGTGATAGTGTGTATGCTTAGCATGTGCAATACTCTGGGTTCAATCCCCAGTTCTGAAAGAAACCAAACACACACACACACACACACACACACACACACACACACATACACATGAAAACCATCCTTGTGGTGATTAGAGTGGAGTGTTAAATTTGAATGACTTTGGGATCAACTTGGGAACTGGGGCAACACACTTCTAGGTGTGTCTAGGTGGGTCATGGAGGCATGGCCTTGGAGTTCTTTTCTGGCCCCCCACCCCTTCCTCTCTGGTGCTCTTCTCTGCTAAGTTTCCTGGCTACCATGAACTAAACAGCTCTGCTCCATTATGCCTTTTTTCCATGAAGTTGCTTCCTTGGAGCCAGCTGACCATGGACTAAATCCTCTGCAATCATGAGCCAAATTAACTCTCCTTCTTTAAGGTGTGGGTGTCAGGTATTGTGTCTCAGCAAGGCTGACTAATACAGAAAACTAGTAGCAGAGAAGTGGGGCCATTGCTGTATCTTTCCTGACAATGTGGTTCACAAGTCTTTGGAACTGGCTTGGAAAAATTTGGAGATATGGACTAGAGAAACCCTAGCATGCTGTAAGCTGAGCCTGATGGGCAATTGTGGTCAGAGCTCAGAAGACCAGAATGCTGGCAGGAATTTTGGCAGTAAAGACCAGGCTTAGGAAGTTTTAGTTGGGAACAAGGGCAACATTGGTAGTTGGACTAGAGGCCACGTGTGTAACACTTTGTTAAAAAGTTGTCTGCATTTTTTCCCGTGTCCCAAGACTTTGCAGGAGACTGAGATTAAGGGTAGTGGACTAACTGATCTGGCAGGGGACATTTCAATGCAACCCAACCTTCAGACTGTGGCATGGGTATTGCTGACTGCTTTTAGTCAGGGTTGTAGTGAGAATCAGGCAAAAAACAGAGCAGAAAAATTTGAAAAACTTAACTTTTGGCCTAGAAGAAACCATGTGTAAACCTGGGGACAAAGGAAGTGTGGGTGCTGAAGAGATGAGCACCAGTAAAGAAACAGTAAGTACTTTGTACAGGAACAAGGAGAAATAGTTGAGTGCATCTCAGGAATCAGTAAGACCTCACCCACAGCAGGCTCAAAGGTTTAAAAGTGAAAACCTTTCATTGAAGAGTGCTCCTGCGATCTCTCCTTGAGAAAGATCTAGAGAAATGGCTTCCTGGATTCCTTTTACAATGCTCAACCATCCAAGCACTCAGAGGCTGCTGCAGCCATGGTCTAAGGGCACCTGGCTGGCTATGCATTCCATTGACAGCAGACTTCAGCGTGATGTGCGATTCTGACTTTACCAGCATGCACAGTGCAATAGTTATGGGGTGAGGGAGGCTCCCACCCAGATTTCAGAGGAAGGCCTGGGAGGCCAGGCAGTGTGTCCCTGAGAGGGCAGTTTGTGAAGCCGTGAGAGTGAAGCCAAAGTGCACTGGAGACCCCAGGAAGTCCGAGATGCCAGGAAGGTAGAAGGTCTGCTGAGGAAAGCTGCAGGCCATGAGTAGAGTCCACCCGAGAGAGTGCCCATGTGGGCTGCAACCAGGGAAGCAGTGGAGGTGGGGCCACCCAAGCCCTTGGGAACTCACATTGTACTCCCATGTGTTCTGGATACTGCATATGGAGCTATAGGACTGAATGTTTGTGCTGCTGGGCTTTTGGCCTTTGGACCATTCTTCTCTATCTCCCTATTCCTCCCTTTTGGAATGTGAATGCTTACCCTGTGTCGTTGTACCTTGGGATTACGTAGTTTGCTTTTCATTTTTACAGAGGTTCACGGCTAAGAGTTTGTCTTGAGCCTCAGACTAAACTCTGAGTCAGACTTTTGAAAAATGCTGGAACTGTTGAGGCTTTTAGGGGAGATTGTCGTATTTCTAGCCATGCTCCGTGTAGTTTTATTAGGTTAGGTAGAATTATGAACTTGCTATTGTCATTATTTGGAGATTAAGCATGGTTTAAGGAGCTCTGTTTGTTGATGAGAGGTACGATGTGGCAGTTAGGTGGCGTGTCAGCTTGATTAGCTCTCGGGTCCACCTGGAGGGATTGGTGGAGCACATTTCTGGGTGTGTCTGGGTGAGTCCTGGAGAAGTGGCCTTGTCTGGTCCCTCTCCCCTTTCTTCTGGCACTGTTCCCTGCTCTTTTTCTAGACACCATGAACTAAGCAGCTCTGTTCTGGCATGCCCTTCTTCCATGTTGTTCCTGACTTGAAGCCAGCTGACTGTGGAGTGACTCCCCTGAGCTATGAGCCAAATTAAACCTCTCCTCCTTTAAGCTGTGGGTGCCAGGTATTGTATCTGAGTAAAAGGAAAGCTGACTAATACAACACCCCCAAACCCCAAAACCTCAGGCTCCCTCTGTATATTCTATAAAGTGTCCCTCAAATGTGTATAGCCTTAAAAAAGCAGTAAGAGAAGCAGCAATGACAACAAAAATGATAATGGTAGAGAGAAGAGCTTCTTTTGGGGTCATTCACTGATATCTTTTTAATCTTGATCCTTAATTCTTTGGCACAAGGATATGTAATAATATCTAGGATACTCTGGGCATTAATAAAATTGTTTTGGTTTGATAAAATTTTATGATTGAAACTACATTTAAAAGAGTATTGGGAGAGTTTTGTAACATTTGTGTTGCAGCATCATATTCAAATTATGAAAAATCTGTTTTCTTCCCTGTTTTCCTTTTAGGTTCTTTCAAGACACTTACTCTTCCATCAGTAAGTATCCATTTAAAAATTTTGGTTTCAGAAATGAGTTGCATCAGTGAATTGAATTAATATTTTGCTGACTTTTATATCAATTTATATTTCTTTTTTTAAAGATTAAATTTATTTCAAAAGTACTTATAAATGAGTGAGACATAACTAAAGCATTTACAGTGAATTTTTTCAGATAAATCATTTTAATACCTACCTCTTTATAGGATAACAATAGCATTACTATGGTAGTATTGTTTTGTTTTTATTAAAATTAGTTATTTTCAAGATTGATTATTACTAACAAATAATGAGTTTTAGTGCAAGTAGAGTATCCTTTATCCAAAATACTTGGTGGTGCTCACCTTCTAATCCCAGTACTTGGCAAGCTGAGGCAGGAGGATTGCTTTGAGATTGAGGCCAGCCTGATCTACTATGGAGTTCAAGGGCATTCTGAACCACACAAGACCCTGTCTCAAAAAACCAAACCAAACAAACAACAAAAAAGTGGGACCAGGGCCGGGGAGCCTGCTGCACAAGCACAAGGACCCAAATTCGATCCCGGTACCAAAAAAAAAAAAAATTGAGACCAGAAGTATTTTGGAATATGTACATATGCAGAATGTGTTATTTTTTGGATGGACCTCAGTCTAAGCATGAAATTCATTTATGTTTCATAAATACCTTATGTACATAACCCGAAGGCAAAAATATAATATTTTTCATGATGTTGTACATGAATTATAGTTGTATGGTGTACAATTTTCCACTTGAGTAATCATATTGGTGCTCAAAGTTTAGGATTTTAAAGCATTTTAGGTTTTTGAATTAGAGATGTTACGCAGGGTGTGGTCCCAGCACTCGGGAGGTTAAGGTACGAGGATTTCTGCAAGTTTGAGGCCAGCCTGAGCTACACAGTGAGCTATATAGCTACATAGTGCAAGTTCAAGGCCAGCCTCCAATGTGAGACCCTGTCTTTAAGAAAAGAAAAGAAAAGAAAAAGAAAGAATTAGAGATATTAAGGCTGTACTATACCAAAGCAAGGTAGAAACAGGATTTTTTTTTTTGTACTGGGAATTGAATCCAGAGCCTTCACAGTGAGCTTACATTCTTGGTGTGACTTTTAAATTTTTTATTTTGAGACAGGTTCTGGCTAAATTGCTAAATTCCCCAGGCTGGGCTTCAACTTGCAGTCCTCATGCCTCAACCTCCCAGAACGCTGGGATTATGAAAGTGTGTCACCAAACCCAGCTCAAAACATGATACTTTCAAAAATTATTTTTTATTTTCTATGCACTCATTTATGGTAAAAAATATTTGATACTAAATGTTCCTATAGGCAAATAATTTGTACTGCAGATGGTTTTTCTTTTCCTGACATCTACATTATACACCTCTAATCACTAAATTCTTCCTCATCACTGAAGTATGTGCTCTTCTTTATCCTTGGGCGCCGTGAATCCTCTGATGCTGAGGGCCCCCTGCACTGGGTTCCATTGGTTCTGTTCTTCAGTCTTGGCCTGCTGGGAGGCGATGGCTTGGCTGAGACTGTCGAGAGCGGGGTCTTCCCCTTCGTCTTCACTTTCTGCTACGTCCTCAATTTCTTCTGGTTCGGCAATTTTCTTTTTCTTTCTTTTTTGGAGGCTCATGTTCTCTGAGCATGTTTTCGGACAGGCATAACTCAAGTGTCCACTTTCCCCACATTCATAACACTTCCATTTATCAAAGTAGTTTTGCCTTCGGATGAATTCAGCTGCTCTCCCATTGTCAAGAGCAGTGCCTGCCTTTATCACTCTAACAAACAACTGTTTGTTGTTTACGCTCTGGTGCAGTTTTGTGCAGAGTCTTTATCCAAAAATAATATAAATGCAACCCCTTTACTCTTCCTCGTATCTTTGTCTTTCATTATAGTAACCTTTACAACTTTGCCATACTTGGAAAATATCGGGTATAAGTCGTTATTTGTCAGGGAGAAGGGCACGTTGGACACATACGCTGTGCTCTTACTTGGAGCCAAGCCACCACTCATTTCTTCAGGGACGGCGGCCCTGGCACAGCGGGGCTTCAACCCCGACTTTTCTTCGCCCCTCGCAGTGGCCTGGGCATCCCGCGCCCTGGCAGGGTTGGCACAGAGCCCTGGGGTTGCAGCAGCGGAGGGCCCCTGTGTGGCTCTCTTTGGTCGGGCTATATCAATTTACATTTCTGGTAAGTTTGGCTTGAGTTAGTTCAGCTTTCAGATTATTTAAGGGAGATTAGTTGATAGGTTCTTCAAACACCTAGCAGGGACTTTCCTCTTATAAAATAGAGAACTTCACTGAGTGTAGTCCTACTTCTGCCTTAATGAGTGTTACAGTCTTGGATGTGTAATTAACACTCCATTCCTTAGTTTCCATGCTGACCCATATTGGAGTCTGAGGCAAAAGGAAAGGCCAGTAACATCGTTCTTGTCTTTGTTTAGTTTTCACTTTTTTTGGGGTCATAATATAATTTTGATATTGTAAAAATACTGTATTAAAATAATGTATTCTTGATTATGATTATTATTATTATTTGGTACCGGGGATCAAACTCGTGACCTTGTGCTTGCGAGGCGAGGCAGGTGGCAGAAGCACTGAGCTAAATCTCTGGCCTCTTGATGATGATGATGATGATGATGATTTGGTACTGGGGATCAAACTTGTGACCTTGTTCTCGCGAGGCAGGCAGAAGAACCACTGAGCTAAATCCCCAGCCCCCTATTCTTGATTATTGGGTTGTTTGATGGCACTTAAATGTGGTCCCTAAGACAAGTTCCCTTCCTCCCAGCGCTGACCTTGGGAAAGGGGGTGAAGATTCCATCTCCATCTCACAGGGACATCCTGGAGGGAAATGAGATGTGAAAGATCTATGAAGGGTTGTATAGAGATGGAAAAGTGTTCTTATTTTGTTGAGAATGTCATCAAACATGATTAACAAATGTTTGTGAACTAATCCTACTTCCCATGGCTTTGATTTGGAAGTTTGTACTTTTATTGCTGTGCTTTGTTTTGGAACATATGTCAGAGTAGATATAGGGCCCAACCACGGGTGCGGTTTGATGTGCTTTTCTGAGAACGGAGGGCTGATGGCTTTGGCCCTATATATGAATTTATGCAGGGTCACCATTACCTCATGGGCCACAGCACTTCCTGTCTCTCATAAGTTCCTTGGTCAGTACATGCAGAAGTCATATTCATTTTGGGGAGCCCTTAAATAGTACTCTGTGAGACTGTTGTGCCCCAAATGATGCTTATAAAAATTATTTAATATGCCATATTTATTAAGTTTTTAATATATTATGCTGTATTTTTCTTACCAAGAAATATACTGCTCCTAATAACAGAAAGTGGAGGGAAATAAAAAGGTACAAGGAAGGAGGAACAGGAAAAACTCCTTAATTTTTGCGACAGTAAAGCATCATATTGCAGTAATAGAACCTGGAACAGTGGATTCCAGCCCTAATGCCTGTATGCAAGCTCTGTTGGGAAGGTATTCTAGTAATAAAATTAAAACAACCCTGTGTAATATAATTGCCTTACAGCAGGATGAAGGTGGAGTTTAAATTCAGGAATCAGACTTAAAGCCCAGTACTTGGTTTCCTTAAAAGAATTTCACAGGCCAGAGTACAGGAAGTCTTCAAGGAGAAAGCAGGCTAAGGGAGGGGGTACAAACCACACCTGTAGACATTTGGCTATGATAGTTATTTTCAGCCTTTTTTTTTTTTTTTGGTGGTACTGGGGATTGAACCCAAGACCTTCATACTCAGCTACATCCTCAGGCTTTTAAAATTTTTTTATTTTGAGGCAGAGGTCTCTTTAAGTCGATAAATTGCCCAGGGTGGGCTTGAACTTGTGATCCTCCTGTCATAGCCTCCCAGAGTGCAGAGATTATAGGTGTGCACCACTACTACATCTGGCAGAAGCTATTCTTTTTTAAAATTTATTTTTATTAGTGTATGTTTGCAGTACATAATGATTACATTCATCATGGGGAGCTGGTACATGTATATAACACACCTGAATTCTTTTTCATCCCCCTTTGCTCTCCACCTTCCCACCTCCATCCCCTGGTCCCCTTCCCATTTGCAAAAAATATGTCTCCTTGTTTCTTATTGTCTTATCTTTTATTTTGCTCATTAATTTACTTATAATTTTCTTATACTCTTATATGAGAAACCATGTGATATTTAAGCTTGTGTGTCTGATTTATTTCACTTAACATTATGGTCTCAAGGTGCATCTATTTCCCCACAAATATCTCAAATTTATCTTTCTTTATAATAGAGTAGTTCTCCATAGTGTATAGATATCACATCTTCTTTATCCATTCATCTGTTAATGGACATATAGGCCAGGAAGCTATTCTCTTTATGATAACCTCATTGTAGGCTTTAGAAGCAGTCACCAAATCTGGGGAATTATGCTTCACTTTCTGAAGTGAGGAAAGTCAGAGATATTTTAAAATCACCTCATGTAGGTTCTTACTAGATTGGTATAGACATCTTGAGTTTGAATAAACTTGAGGTATTTCTAGATAATGGATGCCCCTCAAGACTATACTCTTAAGTGAAATAAATTGGACACACACTTTTTTTGGCACTGGGGATCAAACTTGGGTCCTTGCGCTTACGCAGCAGGCTGTGAGACCACTGAGCTAAATCCCTGGCCCTCTTTTTTTTTTGGTACCAGGGATTGAATTCAGGTCCTTGCTCTTGCAAAGCAGGCATTAGAACCACTGAGCTAAATCCCCGGCTGGACATACATGTTGAAATATCACATTGTTTCTCTGGTGTGAGAAACTGAAAGTGTAAATAAGGACCAAAATATATAATAGATATTGTGAAATAGGAAGTATTTGTTCAAATGGAAAGGGAACCTGGGAAGGGGCCAGGGGGAAAGGAAGGAAGAGAAAAGAAAAAAAGAGAATAGAAGGAAAAAATGGAAACAAAGGTTTTGTAAATAAGGATGAGAAGAGAGGTCAAAGGGAGGGGAAGGCAATGGGAAAAAAGGAAGAACGAAGATATACCATGTACAGGTACTAATTCCCTACGATGAATGTGATCTTTAAGTATATCTAAAGTGTACCAATAAAATTAATTAAGAAAGTAAACTAGATACATGAAATGAAAAAAAAAAAAGATAGGTTTGAGTCTGGCCTAGAAACCTGGAGTAACTTTCATAGCTTCTCTGAGCCCCAGTTTCCTTGTTCATGAACTGGTTTTCGCAGAGCACCCATCTGAATGGCTCAGATCTAAGAATGGCTTCAAGGGGGTGGGGATGTAGCTCAGTGGTGCCACACCTGCCTGGCAAGCTCGAGATCCAGAGTTCGATCGCCAGTACCAAGAAAAAAAAATGGCTTCTCTCTGTTAATGCCAGAGGACAGGATTTCTGTTATTAATAATTGTAGTGAAAGTAGCAGCACCTCCATCCTTACCACACTGTGACACCCTATGAGCAAGATGCAGGAAGAGGAGACATCTCTGAGAGGAGCCTGGGCGAGTACAGGAAAAGAGCGAATGTGCGCATGTGCGCAGGGGTGGGCCTGGCCTGGCCTGAGATCCTGCAGGCTGGGATCTGTGTGTGCTAGAGACCTCTGTAGTAGGTTCTAGTCTCCTGATCATTATGCAATGGAAGACTGAAGAAAAACTCAAGACAGTATTAAAGAAAAAGTGGGAGCTGGGCTGGTCAGCGCTGGGTCCCCAGCAAAAGACCCTGATCAGTCTCATCCACTGATTTTTATTGTTCATCAGCTGGGGTAAAGGTGAGCTATGTGCAAGGATAAAACTAGGTGTAAAGATGCACAGTTTGTGCGGTTTCTATGGAAACTAATGCAGGCAAGGTTTTAAAGAGAAGAGACAAAGCATTTTCAAATTAGAAACAAGATAGACAAAATGTATGGTTGTAATGAGAACATTGTCCTTCTAGTTATGAAAGTGTTAATTGTAGGAATGGAATTTGGGTGCGAATTATGTCCATCTCAGCTACCCATGTTATCTCGAATTAGCCCCATAGGTAAATAGGCCATTACTCGGGTCTTGGCGGTGGCCGTCAGCAGGGAGGTTATATTGACCTGAACTCTATTGCAGTGCTCATGAGATGCTTCTGTGAGTCAAGTAGCTTCAGTCAGACTCACTTCTTTTTTTGAGGGGGGGTGGGTACCTGGGATCGAACTCAGGACCTTGCGCCGTTGAGGCAGGCAGACTCACTTCTTAATGTAAGGCAATTGAGAGAGTTAACTCTTTACAGCCTGCGCTGCATACAGCATACTTTGGGCATAATGAATATTGTAGCTTCTGTCATGCGTGAGGAGCAGGAGAGAGCATGGGGCATGCGCCCCTGGTTCAGGAACCTCATGCTGTAATTAGGGAACAAACTGCGGGATGTATGGGAGGGAAAACAAATTGTTTTACTCTGGTGCCCAGGAAGGCAAAATTTGCAACATATAATTACTCTTGATAATACTATCTATTTATATTTTTGATTGTACCTGGTAACTGAAACATTTTTGAGGTTAAACAGTGAGATCTTGGTTTTTTCTCCCCAGCTACCTCTGAACAGCGCAGATGAGAGGTATGAGCTGCGTGTCACTGGTCGTGTGGAGGATGAGATTTTGTTCTACAACAGCACCCGCTTGTCATTCGAGAGTAAGAGGATGTCAGTCTTCATTCAGACAGACAAGGCTCTCTACAAGCCAGAGCAGGAAGTGAAGTTTCGGATTGTTACGCTCCTCTCAGATTTTAGGCCCTTTAAGGCCTCTTTAGACATCCTCATTAAGGTGAGTGGTAGATAGAAATGAAGTCAGTTCAAGCCATCTTTCCAGAGCTCTCCTAGAAGTTCCGCTCCTGTCATTGACACTCTCCTGTCTTAGATGCTCACCTAGGATAGGCTGCTCTCTCCTCGGGAGCCCTCAGTCTAGGAAGGGAGGCGAGAGAGCCCCATGAAGAGCGAAGGCTCCATCACAGCCTTTCAGCTTCAGTCCCGGCCTCCGGTGCTTGTTCATTTGCCAAACATTTACTGAGCTCCTGTCTTCACGACCCTGATACAGGGCGGGGAACACAGCAGAGATTGATCCCCTGCTTGCACTGACTTTAGTTTTCAGTGGGTAGCAAGGAGACAGAGAGCAAAGAAGAGTGCACTTGTGTGTGGGTGTGTGTGTGTGCTTATGTGCAGGGTGGGGGTGTTTGTGTTGATAGATAGTATGGATAATATGGATAGGTGAGATGTTTCATAAGTGTGATAGTGAGAGGGTGGGGGTGTTTGTGTTTGTTATTTTTTACAGTCGTGAGGGAAGATCTATTTGAACAGAGATTTAAAGGAAATAAAAGAATTAACCAATCCAAAGGGAGGGAACGACGCATGTCAAGGCCCGGAGGTGGGTACCTGATGGTTCAGGGACACGCTGGTGTGTACCCAGCCCAGGCAGCACTAGGATATGAACCAGAAGGAAGTGGTGCCTGGGGTCTGGGCTTGTAGAGGATCTGTCTGGCCATTATATGGATTTTAGGTTTCTCATGCAGTGAAATTAGAATTTATTGAATTTGGAGGGGAGGCCTGATGTGATCTGATTTAACAGCTTAAAAGGATCCCTAACAGCTTGATGCTGTAGCTGTGTGGCTTGAGCAAATCATTTACTCTGTCTGAGCCTCAGCTTCCTCATCTATCCCATGTGTAATAGTAAAGTGAACTGTTTAGAATGGCTCCTGGCTTACTTCTCATTGGCTGCCAGTATTATAATAGGAGCCGCTTCTGACAGTCTGCTGCCTGGACACCCCTGGGGCCTGGGGGCAGCATGGTCAGCAGATCGAGTGCTTCCCTGTAAGAGTCTAGGTGGAGGCACGGAGGCCCAGCTGCGCCTGGTTTTCTCCATTGAACCCTGGGGAGAAGACTGCATGTCTGATTACCACATGAAGAGAGTGGCCGCTCATACAGCCTGCCTGAACAGTCCTGGTCCTGGGACCTCCTCAGTCCTGGGACTTTGGTTACTCTAAACGTTGTAATAAATACCGCACTGTGGAAGGTAAACTCAGAATTTTAAGTTCGTTATTCTCCTATTCTTAATTTCTTTGTTGTTATAAGACAACAACAAAACCCAGGAAAACAAACACATGTACATACAACTTGAAGCCAAGATAAGCTTGTAGCAAATATCACATTGGTTGGCATGATGCTACATGGGTATTTCTTGAATTGAACTAGTATTATTTTAGTGTTTGCAGCTCGGTGCATTTCTGCTTTGTTCTGGGATGGAATATTCCTAAAGCAGGCTGACGTAGTGGATAGCATTTGTAAATTCATATGACTATCTGAGCAGGGTTAAAGTGACTCCATGCATACCGTCCTTCATCATTCATACACATACACCGAGAACTTACTTTTTGTGTAAAATAATGAGTTATTGGTAAATGTCTGTTGGGGTGTGTGTATGTGTGTGTAATACTGGGGATTAAACACAGGGTCTTTGCATTGAGCTACATCCTTAGTCCTTTTTAAGTTTTTTGAGACAGGGTCTTGCTAAGTCTCTAAGTTGTCTGGGCCAGGCTCCAACTGACTCTCCTTCTGCCTCAGCCTCCCGAAGTACTGGCTTTACAGACTTGCACCACCAGGCCTGGCGGTGTGTGTGTGTGTTTGTCAGTAGGGACTGAACCTAAGGCCTTGTGTGTGCCGGGTAAGTGCTGTACCACTGAGCCTCTCTGACTCTTTTCAGTCAGTCCTTCCTCATACCTTAAATAAATGGTAGTCAAAGCTAAATTGCCTGTTTTAGGCCTTAAACCGGGGCTAATGTTACAGATTCTGGGGAACCCATTTATGTATTCCTGATATCTGTCTCTCCGCTCTGATATCAGCCTTGGAAACCTTTGATTTGGAGATTATTTGGACTCTTCTGTCCATGGTTGGGCTTAGCCCACGGTCTCGGACTTTCCTGGAAGGGCACAGAGAGCTAAATCTTTCTCTGTTGGCTTGGACAGGACATCCTCTCCCAGGAGAGGGGAGTTTGGGCTCAGATCCAGGTTTGGGAACAGAGAATGTGGGGTGGTGTGCCCATCTCTATACCTGGTGTGGACTCAGGGCTCTGCCTCCCACCTTGGAAGGAGCCAGGTTGGACCTCTGATGTGAAGGTCGGTACCACTGACTCCTTCCCATGACAACAGTCCTCTGGGCCAGGGTTGAGTAGCTGTGATATTTTCCGCATTTTTCTTTTCTTCTTTTTTTTTTTTTTAGTGTAGAATAATTGGTTTCTTGGAAAAACTTCTGAGAAGAAGGTGGGACTTGGTAGCAGGAGTGGTCGGCTGCCCGACACAGCGCCACCTGCAGGTCAATGTGGGGAAGTGTACCTTTGAGCCAGCCTGTCAACTTTTTGGAACTCAATTTGCTTGGCCAAGAATGGACAGTACAGTGTATCAGGGATCTTTCAGTGTGGGTTTTTTTTTTTTTTAAATGGAGGTCATTAGGTATTTTCATTTTGCCTGGTTCCATAACTACTCAGGAAAGGGCTTCAAGAGGTTTTTCACAATAGAAAAACCATGCCCCACTCCAGCCTTAATTCTGGCCTCCCAGCCCTGGAGTCACATGCCCTGCCAACACTGGGATGGCAGAGGCACGGCTGGCTCCTGCCCCAACCTTTCTCTTTTGAGAAGCTGTTGTATCTGGAGTCGGGGATGACCTTGTGTGGGTGCAGATACTGGCTTGAAGGGTCTGTCCTTGTGACTGTGCCCTGACTGACTGTCCCGGAGCAGTCATGGCAAACTCAGAGCAGTGCTGGCCAGGTGAGGGGCCATCTTGTTTGGGTGACCTGACTTCTCTCATTCTACTTGCCAGGTGGACGTGTGCCTCGTGCTAAACCCAGCACCCCAGGTCCTGCAGATGCCCTCCAGCTAGGGAGCTCACTGCTGGGCTGAGCCACCCAGAGGTGACTGTTCAGTGTCTCCTGGCTGTGATGGGTGCGTTGGTCACACTGTGAGTGGCTGTCCTGTGTGTCTGGCAGGAGATAACCACTTGCAAATGCTGTGCTCCACTGTGTTGCACCGTGCCTGGCTGTTCAAACCCAGTGTGCTCTATAAAGACTTTCAGAGTTTCTCTATTATCTTGTGTCCCCTTTATTGGTGACAGTCAGGCCCAGGTTCAAGCCAGCTTAGGAAAACAAGGGATTATTTCATTCTCCCCGGTCCAGATCACCCAGGTGCAAAGTCATCAAAAGTCAGACTCCTTTTGTTTATTTGTTTTTTGGTACAGGGGATCGAACTTGGGTCCTTGTGCTTGCGAGGCAGGTGGCAGAACCACTGAGCTACATCCCCAGCCCCAGACTCCTTTTGATACTCGGTGGGAAATGTCCCCTCTCTGCAATAATCATGGGCCACGTGTTGGCATTCCTTTCTTCTACTTTATTTTGAACCAAGAGTTATTTTTAAGTCTTTGTTGATATGACAAAGGAAAAATAGCATCCATTTTCATTCCTTTAATCACTGTGCAGGAGTAGTTATTAGCTGTTTATTTTTCCCTGAGCCTTTTTCCTCCACAGCTGTCCCCGGAATGATGGAGCAGCAGGCAGAGGAAGGGTTTGCCCAGGACACAGTGACCTGCTTGTTCTTGATTTGCCTTTGGTCCTAGTTTCAACAATTAAGTTTCTGGCTTACTCCTCCTCCTTACTTCTTTCTCAGCATTGTCCTTTCTCCACTGTGGGTGAGAGCTTTCTTCTGGCTTCTAACAACTGGGCCAACTCATTACTTCTAGTCAAACAATAGAGAAAAAGGGAAATATTTCATTCCTGATCTCAGAATTCACAGTCTAGGTGGGAATAAAAAATGTTTTTGTAAAATAAAATAGGTAAAATAAGCTGATTTTACAGCTTGTATCACTAAGATATACTTCAGTGATGTAAACTCCAGGCGTGGGGACTCCAAGCAGTTACTTCTCCTGTTGAAGGCATGGATGGAGGATGAAAAGCTAAACTTATTTCACCAGTGGGGTGGGGTATTCTGTGCCGAAACTGCAGAGGTCTAGATGTGTGGACTTTGGGGTGAGCTGTCAGTGAATTGGTGTATTTAGAAGAGGAGCCTAGAAAAGCAGATGGGGTCTAATTACAGAGCAAAAGAGTTAGACTTCATTCTGTGGACAAACAAAAACCAGAATCGCCTAATAGTCTGTTGGAATGATCAGAACCAATGCTTACTCATTCCTCGTTAAAGGTCAGGAGGTAGGCCAAGCATTGCAGCCACTGCACTTCATTCTTAGATCTGTGTTTCAGATGGATCATACTGTTGGCAGTGGAGGGTCCAAGTCTGGAGGAAGAGATTAGAGATTGTAGAACAGGATGTGGTGGCCGGATGTATGTGTGTGTGTGTGTGTGTGTGTGTGTGTGTGTGTG